TGTTAAGATTTATATACTTTACGTTCCGTTCTATTTCGCAAAACCAATCAATGAAATTTGAATAAGCTGATTAGTTTGGAAAAGACTTTGACAAAAACTACTTCGCGGTTTAAGTATACCTTTAATTTAATTTAATTTCATAGGACTTCATGGTACCAATATTTTTTAGAAAATTTCTTTTTTTTTCCCCTTTTAATAGCGGAGAATAAATTCTTAGAATTTCTACGATTCTTGAAATCCTCTGCACATTGGAAACTCTCCTTACTGTTCTACTTTGCATTATATTTTACAAGGATGAAATATATATAAGAACGTAAAAAAAGATATTCAAAAACAATATTGCATTTTTATTAAAAAAGTATTTATTTTAATTTTAAATTGTTTTTTAAATAGTGGGGAAATTTTGTATGTTACATACTAAAAGTTAATTTTCCCCCCAAAATAATGAAAATCTATTGTAGTAAACTACACACCCTAGTAAAACCAACTGTATTTTCTGTCCTGTTTGCACTTCTCCCCAAATTTTGGTTTTGATTGGGTCACTGTATGGCTATTTTAGTGGTTGTGATGGGTGGAAGGACTAACGGAAGTTACAGAATTTTATATATGGATAGATAGATAATTTAATGGTAACTGTTTTGATGAACTTTCCTCTATAGTACCGAGACTGTATGAATTTAAGCGCAGTACTAGATTGGCAGCTAGGTCTCATCATTTTACAGTTGAAATATCTAGATGTAACCGTAAGTTCTATACTAACAGTTTTTTTTATCACACTTCTCGCTTGGGGAACTCTCTTCCAGCTTCTTGTTCCCTGTCAACTTTGATCTTCAAAAGTTTAAATACAATGTCGATCGTTATCGTCTGTCTTCTTCATTCTCGCACTTTTATTGTCTTATCTCCTTAACAGTAGATTTTTCTCATATTCTCTACACCCAGGAGGCTCTTGCGTCTTAGTGAATTTATTACTTCGCTTGGGGTGAATGATAAAAAAAAGCTTATGGGACTATATAATCCCTTCTAATATTATATGATATATTCCTATCCGACGTGGGAGACCATGCCTCATCACAACTTCCTATCCTTTGTAGGTCTTCAATGTTTTTTCTATCCTTCCTACTCCCAGTTCCGCCATTTATTTACACAAGCTCGTTAATTAGGTTACACCACATTCCTCTTCAATATGTCTTGTGAGTGTTAAATTCTCCAAGCCCTCTTTCCTCATTATTTCTCCTTGTCGACTCCCAATCAAATTTGTTCTTCAAAAATTTAAATGCAATGTCAAATTTTATCTTTTATTTTCTTAATTTTTACTATTTTATTATCCTTTCTCCTAATTATTCTTTTTTCATATTCTTTAACATTCGGTAACGTTTTGTATCATAGTGGATTTATTGCCTTCCTTGGGGTAAAATGATTTAAAAAAGTAAAAGATTATTGGATAGACTTGTGTCGAATAAATATGATTTTTATTAAGGTTCAATCCAAGTGAATCTATAATATCTGCCAAATCTTTTACATATCTAGGAAGAGGAATAAATTCCACTGAAAAGGATTTGAAAATTCCCATAGCTAAATCTTTGGTCACCTTGAATAAAATGAATGTGATTTGGAAATCTGATCTGCTAGGCAACCGCAAACGGAGATTCTTTCAAGATGGTGTTAATGTATGGGATCTCTGCTTGAACATTAATTAAAACCCTAGAATCTAACTTTGATGGAACCTACACTCGGATGCTGAGAGCTATACATATTCGGATCTCTTGGAGACAAGATCTAACTAAATCACAGCTCTATGAACCAATTCCTGATATTTCTACAGTCGTATGCGAAAGCACAATCCTGTTTGCGGGACACTGCTCTGGACACCTCGCCATGGATCAAGACGAGTTGGTCACCCAGCAACGACCTTCATTGACCAGCTATGTTATGACAGAGAATGACTATCTAATGAACTTCCGACTTTGATCTAGTACTGTGATGGTTGGCGTATTAGACTCGTGAGTGTCCGAGCTAAATTGACCGAATGCATATATTAAAAGGAGGTATCTCCAATTTTCCTTTTTAATAAAATAATGCATTCTTAACTCGTTAGTCCCCATACGACCCACCGGAGTTTCGTGGTTTTATGCCTGCAAGGCCCACAAGACCCTCCGGTGGGTCGTTTTACAATTTCTTTTCTATATGGATTATTAGGAGTGGGATGCTATGATTGATTGCTTATGAGATCATGGTACACCAGAACCATATTTTCCCCACATGTATTTCGTTTTCCGTTGGAAATGTCTACAATTAATTTTCGGTGTCTTTTTTAGATTTATTTTTATATACACAGAGCTGTAACATGCCAGTCGTTTGGGACTTTGATTTGTAAAATGGACTCAGCTACCGAATGACACAATGGCGGGTCGTGAGCTATAAATACTACCGATGGTATCCTTGTCTTATATATAAAACAATGTTAAGGTAATGGTTAGCAATTCATATTGTATATACTCATTGGGGAGACCGTCAGATTGAAATCATGGTCGATTATTTTAATTGACCTCGTAATTTTTATATATATATATATATATATATATATATATATATATATATATATATATATATATGAAAATATATAGAAAATAGGAAGGAACTGGTTAGGTAAACAATCCAAAGTTCCTTAGTATTTTTGTTATTATTTTTAAAAATAGTGCTCGATACAAAAGTAGAGCATAAATATAATTATTTATTTAAAATATGATTCCAACTCGCGACATCTTATGTCGCGAGTTGGAATCATTTTTTAAATAAATAATATATATATATATATATATATATATATATATATATATATATATATATATTATTTTATATGCGCAGAGTAAAGCAATCAATATCAACGATAGAGCTAAAATATTCAGTTGTGTGGATATGAGTTTAGATTTGGGTTTCACGCTATTACGATCATCAGAGATTGTCTGATGGTCCCAAAAGCGTGAAACCCAGGTTCGCAACAACTGAATATATATATATATATATATATATATATATATGTGTGTGTGTGTGTGTGTGTGTGTGTGTGTGTGTGTGTGTGTGTGTGTGTGTGTGTGTGTGTGTATTTATGCATGTTTCATTGAAAAGGGCCGGTAAGGAAGATTTAATTAATCTTTCATTTGAAATTTTACAGCACTCTAAATGGTTAAATAATATAGGAATTGTTCATAATTTTACCGAGCGATTTCGGCTACTTCTCTAGCCATTATCAAGGATGTTGTTTTTGGATGGGGAATTTCTCTATGCGGTTTCTGCATAATAGATTTGGTATGTGGAGTATGTGCAGCGGGTATTGTATGCTTTTTGGCGGTCACATGCTATGCGTGACCGGTTGACCTGGGTATGATTCTATTCATAGAAAACTTTTAACACGTTATCTCCACTGCTCCATAGTGTAAGAGCGATAACGACCGAATAATATTTAGTAAGCGATGCATCTTTAATTATTAGAAATACTACATAGAATTTCCCCATTCCCAAACAACATTCTTGATAATGGCTATAGAACTAGCCGAAAGCGATCCGAAAAATTTATAACTATGGCCTCTTCCTATATTCTTTAAAACCTAAATAACGAAAAAATGTTAGAATGCTAGGAAAACTCAGTATAAGATTAATTAAATCTTCCTTATCGGCCGTTTTTAGTGAATATATATATAAATATATATATTGTGTGTATTTAGGCAGCATATTTTCATTTATACACGTTTCATTAAATAAAATATGCTGCCTAAATACACACAATTTAAATTACATGATCCAGCAGCCCACAATACTATCAATACTCGGAATTACAAATGTAGCCTTGTGAAAAGGCAAATTGAAATAGCAAAAGAAAAATTGAACAACCTTAACAGCAAAAAACAGGACATTTACGATAAACTACAGGATATAACTACCTTGGACCAACTGGAAGAAATTACACATAGACAAAATTGATAAATACATTAACCTTTCCAACTATGAACTAACTAAGCATCAAAAAGAATGACTTAACCTTGGACCAAACTGCCATATATGCTGTAAGTACAATCGACTTTAAAAAAAATAGAAATTGAGACCCTCTACACAAAACATAGTTAAACTCCAGGATTAACAACTAATAGAAACTACACCAGAATTTAAAGACTTACTTAAGGTCGGGACATTCAAGGATCGGCATGATAAAAGCAGAAACTCCTCAAAAATACTTTCTAAACAAATGAAAATTGCCGCACAAGAACAACGCAACCATCCTGACATTATTGGAATAAAACCTGATAAGACAACATTTTTGTCATCCTAAACAAATTGGATAATGGCTTATGTAAGCCGAAAGCTTAGATTATATTAAAAAAATATGGATCAATATTGTGAATTTCTTTCTTCGTTCAACGATAATGTTATTAAACTTATCAGATGTTACAAAAAAAATTTACATAAAATAAATAGACAACACTTGTCTATATTATTTAATGAAACGTGTATAAATATATATATATATATATATATATATATATATATATATATATATATATTTGGATTGATGTGTGTTTGTTAACTAAATATGTCAGTAAATACTGATATTGAGCGCTTTCTAGTAAGTACCATGCATATATAATATATAAATAATATATATATAAAAATATCTATATATATATATATATATATATATATATATATATATATATATATATATATATATATATATATATATATATATATATATATATATATATATATATATATATGTGTGTGTCTACTCACAGTATTTGCTTTTTTTTATCGACGATGACGGATATATATGCATGTCCGCGTGTCCCAAACGCGGGTGAAATTCGTGTGCATGCGCACACGTGCCGTAATGCGAGACGGTCTCGAATTTAAACGATTGACCCGCACTCTAGCGACACCAGACACTGAAAATGTCCATATGGCATGGCATCATTTTTTTCCCAGAAAAAAATTGTCCCGCCGATATTTCAAAGGAGGGAAATAGAAAAAAAAAATTCATCCTTTTTCACCCTTATGAATTCAAGATAGTGAGAGGAGGTGGGGAGAATGAGAGAGAGAGAGAATGAGCGAGTGAGAGAGAATGAGACAGAATGAGTGAGAGAGGGTGAGAAAGACAGAGAATGAGAAAGAATGAGAGAGAAAGAATGAGAGAGAATGAGAGAGAGAGAATGAAAGCGAAAGAAAAAATGAGTGAGAGAGAGAATGAGTGAGAGAGAGAAAGAATGAGAGAGAAAGAAAGAGAGAGAATGAGAGACAGAATGAGAGAGAAAGAGATAGAGAGAAAGAATGAGAGATAGAGAATGAGTTAGAGAGAGAGAATGAGTGAGAGATAAAATGTGAGAAAGATCGATACAGAATGAGATAAAAAGAAAGAGAGAGTGAGTGAGAGAGAGAATTAGAGAGAGAATGAGGGAGAAAGAGAGTGAATGAGTGAAAGAGAGAATGAATGAGAGAGAGAATGAGAGAGAGATTGAGAGAGAGAATGAGGGTGGGTGAATCAGAGAGAGAATGAATGGAACCAAAAAGAAGAGAAAAAAACAGTTTATCACTAAATTAAAGCTAAAACGCTTTCTTTTTTTCCAACTCCACATCGCATGGCTTGATTAACATTTAACTACTTTAAAGCCTTTCTATCTTCTCTACAAACGATGGCGAGCATTTTTAGTTGGTTGGTTGGGTTTTATGGCATATCAACCACTACAGGTCATTTAATGCCAAATTTAGTTTTATATATATATATATATATATATATATATATATATATATATATATATATATATATATATATAGTAAACGTATATCTAGCAATAATATTGTTTCAAAAACGTATAGCTGGCAACATTATTTTTTCAAAAACGTATAGCTGGCAATATTACTTTTTCAAAAACGTATTGCTGGGAATATTACTTTTTCAAACACGTATAGCTGGCAATATTACTTTTTCAAAAACGCATAGCTGGCAACATTATTTTTTCAAAAACGTATAGCTGGCAACATTATTTTTTCAAAAACGTATTGCTGGGAATATTACTTTTTCAAACACGTATAGCTGGCAATATTACTTTTTCAAAAACGCATAGCTGGCAACATTACTTTTTCAAAAACGTATAGCTGGCAATATTACTTTTTCAAAAACGTATAGTTGGCAATATTACTTTTTCAAAAACGCATAGCTGGCAACATTATTTTTTCAAAAACATAATATCAGAGTCCTTGCTGTTGGACGCGGATGTAGTTTATCGTCATACCCAGGACGTGGATGTAGTTTATCATCATATCCAGGACGTGGATATAGTTTATCGTCATAACCAGGACGCGGATGTACTTTATTGTCATACCCAGGACGCGGATGTAGTGTATCATCATACCCAGGACGCGGATGTAGTTTATCGTCATACCCAGGACGCGCGAGCATTTTTAAGTGTGGGCTTTATTAACTTGGTCAACTGGGAAAAATGTTTGAAATATTTCACAGTTTGCTCGAAACCTTAGTAAGATGGCAGTGACATTTTATTTTTGGCGCGCAAAACTGATAAGCAAATTAAAGCCTTTCGTGCTCCTGTCTGTCGTAGTATGCTTATCATCTCTTTGGTTGCATCTTCGGGCAGAGTGCGACTCAGTAGTGGCCTCTGTCTGCAGAGAGAGAATCGCAGCTGAGGAAAATTAGGTGGCCGGACCTGGGGATACAGCTGCCCGAGGCAGCACCCTCTCGTTGCACTAGAGAGATGGATTGGTTCGCGCCACCAATGCCAGCGTAGCTGACGGTTGCGGGGACTCGGAAAGTTTGTTACCTGGTCCGAGTGTATGTGTTCGGGGTTCCCACATAAAACCCAAACTTGTATGACATCTCGTCTCAATACCTGGCTAAATAACATCCCTTCCGTAAATTAGAGAGTTACCGGTTAAAAGGTTTTTTTTTTCATTTTCACCTCAATAGCCAATGTTGTCGTCGATAGATACTTATGACTAGGCATGCTACGGACTATTTAAATAATCCGAAAAACGGATTTTAACATGTAAATGCCTTCTTTGAGCTTGAATTTCGTTTTTATTTGAAAGATTGTATCCAAATACTAATCCGAATTAAAAGAAAAACAAAATCAAACTGTATCTGTCTATATTTCTAAGATGAGGTATTATGTACACTATTTACATTATTCAGACTATTGTCCTCATTTTTGTTGCCATATTTATCACAACGTTTCGGCCGTTGTACGCTCCGGCCTTCTTCAGGTGATTGGAATGCCGAATAAATAATCCGATGAAGATGTTGGCTTTCTGTACAAAAACAACTAACTTCGGTATGGGATCGCACATATATCGACAGGATAAGGGCTTAGAAATGGGATCGCCATTATCACCAGCAATAGCGAATATATACATGGAATACTTTGAGGAAACGGCATTAGAATCTATACCTCTAGGGTCAGTGAGCGAAATAAAGGGTTCAGTTCGGCATTCCAACCATTTGAAAAATGCCGGAGCGTACAACGCTGTGTTAAATATGATAACAAAGATGAGGACGATAGACCGAACCATGTAAATGGTGTATAATCTAAATGTATTCCACTACATAACTTCAATAAAACTACGACATAAAACGCACCATTCACCATTCATGTTTGTATAGACATGATTACGGTGGAGGCCACCGTTATCATGTCTATACAAACATGTATATGCACAAAATCTGAGTATCATTTACCATGTATTCCATTGTGAAAGCAGAATAACATATCATATTTTTCGTACTTCCAAACTCCCGAGAAAGTTAAATTCCGGCATTAAATGACCCATAAGGTGTTGATATGCCGTTAAACAAATCAAAACAAAACTAAAATCATTGAAAGATACTTCTGCACATGAAAATAAATTGTTTTTAACATCACTCTGAAGCAGTCATAGAAGTTTCTAAATTTACTTTCTTTTTGGAATTTGACCATTCTTACTAACATATTTCTCAGACAATGAATAAAGACAAGAAAATTATCTTCGAGTTAAAATAATAAAATATGTACCATCAGACAAAAATATATCTGTTAAACAATAATAATTTATCGTCATAGTCTAAATAAAAGTCATTGTAAACATTATAAACTTGATTAGTTTATTTTGTTTTACGGCATATCAAACTCAATGGGTTATTTAATGCCGACAAGATTTTTATTGCTGGTAATATTTTTATCTATCTATCTATCTATCTATCTATCTATCTATCTATCTCATTATATATTGTTTGGTTTGTTTTGTTTTACGGCATATCAACACTTCAATGGGTTATTTACTGCCGACAAGATTTTTATGGCTGGAAATGTTTTTTATCTATCTATCTATCTATCTATCTATCTATCTATCTGTTTGTTTTGTTTTGTTTTGTTTTGTTTTACGGCATATCAACACTTCAATGGGTTATTTAATGTCGAAAAGATTTTTATGGCTGGAAATGTTTTTACCTATCTATCTATCTATCTATCTATCTATCTATTGGTTTGTTTTGTTTTGTTTTACGGCATATCAACACCTCAATGGATTATTTAATGCCGACAAGATTTTTATGGCTGGAAATGTTTTTTATCTATCTATCTATCTATCTATCTATCTATCTATCTATCTATCTATCTATCTATCTATCTATCTCAGTATATACTGCTCTGATTTGTTTTGTTTTACGGCATATCATCATCAATGGGTTATTTAATGCCGACAAGATTTTTATTGCTGGTAATTGTTTTTTTCAAAAAAATAATGTTGGTAATTTTTTTTTCAAAAATGTATTGCTGGTAATAATTTTTCCTTCAAAAAATTTATTGCTGGTATTAAAACCTATTTTTACACTTTCATAGTGTATTGACCCCAGTTTGGGGGTTAACTATTTACTACGCTCCTCAAAACTTCCAGAACAGAGGCCTTGCGGATGTAGTTTATCGTCTTACCCAGGACGCGGATGTAGTTTATCGTCTTACCCAAGACGCGGATGTAGTTTATCGTCTTGCCCATGACGCGGATGTAGTTTATCGTTTTATGCAGGACGCGGATGTAGTTTATCGTCTTACCCAGGACTCGGATACATTTTGTCGCCGTTCCCAAGACGGTCAAATTTCGATTTTATTTTAAATTTCTGTTAATCCGAATTTCTGCGTATAAATAAAATTTTGGGGTATTTTTTTTTTTTTTTCTTTTTGAAAAAAACTTGGCTCGTTTTCTAGTCACTCATAGAATTGTAATTATAAAGAAAATTACATTTTCCCCAGTCGAGTATGTCCTTGGTTGTAGGTTCAGAGGTCGAACAATGATTCTATTACAACCTGCGACCCTACTTAAAAAAAAAAAAAAAAAAAAAAAAAACGCGCTAGAAATCAAATAAAATACAGTACAAATCTCACGGCCACATCACTTTGAAAACACCGGTTCCTGTGCGATCCCCGAGTTAAGCAACGCCGAGCCTGGTCAGTACCTAAATGGGTAACCGTTTGGGAATACCAGGTGCTGTAAGCTCGGGTGATATAATGGGATTAATGCCATATCATGTTGAAACACCGGTTCCGTAAAATCACCTAAGTTAAGCAACGGTGAGCCTGGTCAGTACCTAGATGGGTGACCGCTTGCACTGTGAGCTTTGTTAATACCTCGGAACTGTTAATCGGTGTGCCGAGTTACAATTCTCCCAGGTTGCGTTATAGTCACTTACGCACAAGTACCCTTGGGAAACGTATGAATGCACATATTCTCCCCCAGATATGGGTTAATTAGTAAGATTTGTATCACTAAATCATTATTATCTAAAAAAAATTCTTACAATCTAAATATGTTTTCTGGCTTTAAATAACCTGCAATGGGTTAATAATTGAAAAAAAATAATACAATCAAGAAACAGCAAATTTAAAATTTCTTTTCAAAATTGTGGTGATCATGGCTCTCCACAATTTCCTGTTCTCTTTTGCTCTTAATATAATTTGTCATTTTTTGATCTATCCTAATCCTTGTTCTTCCAGTTATTTACAAAAGCTCACTAGGTAGGTTATGCGTTGTTTTCCGCTGTCACTCTTACCTTCAGCGTGCCAAATTTTCTAAACCCTCTTTCCTCATTAGGTGCCCTAGAAATGTAAACTGTCTCTTTCTGGTTCTTTGTATAAATCTCTTTTTTTGTTTCCATTTTCTCTAAAACTTCGCCATTGTTCATATATTCAGTCTATGGTATCCTCAGCATCCTTCTGTAAAACCACATTTCTATAGCACTTAGAATAATTAATGCATAGATTAATCTTACGTGGGTAACACTGAATATATATTTTCTGTGCGATATCTTCCTTTTTAGCGTAGCAAATATTAATGATAGTAAATCTCTTCATCTCTGAGATAAGGTGTGAAGATTATGTACATTATTGGCATTATTCGGACTGTTATCCTCATCTTCATTGCTATATTCACAACGTTTCGATCTCTATATCTCCGAGATGAGGTATTATGATTTCTTGTATTATTTACATTATTCGGACTATTATCCTCATCTTCATTGCCATATTCACATAGTTTCGGCCTCTATATCTCTGAGATGAGGTATTATGATTTCTTGTATTATTTACATTATTCGGACTATTATCCTCATCTTCATTGCCATATTCACAACGTTTCGGCCTCTATATCTCTGAAATGCGTTATTATGATTAATTCCATTATTTACATTATTCTGACTGTTATTCTCATCTTTGCTATATTCACAACGTTTCAGCCTCTATATCTCTGAGATGAGGTATTATGATTACTTGTGTTATTTACATTGTTCGGACTGTTATCTTCATCTTCATTGCCATATACGAGAAATTCAAGTAGAAAAAGTTGTCCAACTTTCTGCTGCCTGGCTAATTTCTTAAAGACATATCTCTCTGGAAATTTCGTGCTATAATAATGGCACGGCTCGAAGATAAATGATATCTCAGGTGTGTTTGGAATTTTAATTGCCTAAGACAACAAGCATTCTTGTAATTTTAAAACATGTTGTTTGATTGTAAAGCTTTCTATGGTTGAAATTGCCAAAGACGTAAGTTGTTAAATCTGAAAGAAAAAGAAAAAAAAATCATTAGACGCTTAAACTTAATTCACATTTAAAATCGGTTCAAGTTATTGGAACAGCGTTTATAACAGAAGACCAGATGTTGGTTCCGCCCCACCCACCTTCTCCGACACTGTAGCCTTGTCCTATACGCTCTTAGCGGTATAGTGTTTAGTCTATGTATTATGTTTAGAAAATGCAAAAAGTTTAAATGTCATACCTACTGTCCTAAAAATGAATATAAATTTTATTGCTACCTTTCGTGGAGATAAAGTCTTGGGTTTTAAGACAATCAAAGTTGGTGGTCTTGAACACAAAGGAAGATCATGAAAGTCAACTATCTCTTATAACCCCGGAAGGACTTTCATTACGGTCTATTACGGTTTACGTTAAAAGAAATGGCGGGAAAAAGAAAGAGGTTTTAAAAATATTGGGCTTAGTGCTTGGAAGCGGGTTTTAGCTCAAATGCAGGCAGGCAAAGGAGGATTGGCTCAAAAAAAAAAAAAGTGCAGAAATAGAAAGGACTATTGCAGATAAAGCATAAAAGAATGAGAACTTACAGAACAAAAGACATGCTAAAGAACAGATTATTATTATTATTATTATTATTATTATCTACTAGCCGAATTACCCGCGCCTTGCTGCATGTCACATAATTTTTTGTAAGAAAATGATGATTAATTTTAAATTATTCTTATATTTTGTTAAGAAAAATGATGCTCAATGATCTTGATGATATGACCTCCATTTTCTGGCTTTCTCCACCTATATTTTGGAAAGGAATTATTCCCTTGTTCAAATTTAAATGCTATTTAAATCAAGGGGAAACAACTTTTCAGTGGTGGTAGTGGGAATTGTAAAACAGCTTGATCACTTTGATATGTATTTGATGCAATACTTGATTGAATGATGCAATACTTGATTTGATGCAGCACTTGATGAGCAGATTTCAACATTGATATCACAGTTGAAGTGTCGCGACAAATATGTATTGTAAGGCGCTACTCGCTGGTTGCTGATTTCTTGCTCAACTTGACGTCCATATTTTCCATTTGATCTTGCCGATGTGACCCCCATCTTCTGGCTTTCTCCTTCTATACTTTGGATAGGAGTCATTCCATTGTTCCAATTTAAATTTAGTCTAAATCAAAAGGAAAAAAAAATCAATGGGGGTGTCCCCCTTTGATCAAAATGATCTTACCGATGTGACCTCTATCTCCTTCTATATTTTGGATAGGAGTCATTCCCTTGTTCAAATTTAAATTTAATTTATATCGAAGAGGAAAAAAATCAGTTGGGGGTGCCATACAGGGAGCCCCCCCTTTGATCAAAATGAAATATACTTATCCAAGTTTCCTGAGTAATGTAGTTTCAGAATATATATGGGGAAGGGTCTATCCCCCAAACCCTAGGAGGA